AGTGAGCAGCTGGAGGCCAGGCAGAAGGCAGCGTTTCCACCCCGGGAAAGCTCTGCCCAGCGGCAAGGAGCCCCACTGACAAATAAAGCCTGTTCTTGGCTCCGCCACCCACCCAGCCAAGCCCCTTTATTCCGTTTCAATATGCCTGATTCCACTGACAGCGCATTGGCAATGAACGGAATTAATCAGTCCTGGATGCCCGAGTGAGTGTGGGCAGGTGTTAGCACATTCGAGGGAACTTGGAGGGGGGACGTGAGATAGTGGCAGGGAATGTAAAGTGCTTTCCTGCGGCGGGGACCGAAGAAGGAAAGGCCTCTTCCGGGGGCGGGCATTTGATGAGCAAATAAAGCCTTTGACTGCCTGCCACTGGGTAGCAAGCCAAAATGACCGGGAAACTTCCATGGAATGTTTTTCTGCGGCCTTGTTTCAAAACGGGCACAGTTCTACTGTTGCTGCTTTCATGCTTATAAAAGTAACATTCACTCCATTCAGACCCTGCGCAGGGACGTGAAGAATAGTGAAAGTCGTCTGTCATCCTACCGCCTTCGGATAACCAGGCTGACATGTTGGTACAGGTCGGTGTGGCTGTTTCTCCGTGTTCTCTGCGCATATTTTTACACACATCTACAGTCTGAGTGAGATCCTGTTAGGTCAGCGGTTTTGCAGCCTGTGTTCCCCACTTAATAACAGACCTTGGACATCCTTCCCTATTACTAACTGCGGATCCTGAGCATCATCTTTTCACGGCTGCACGGTCTTGGGTGAACTACACACCCTGTGTGAGCGGGCTCTGTTCACTTTGTCCGCATCATCTGGCACCTTCTCCCCACCCGGCTCCCTGCATTCAGCCACACTGGCCTTCCTCTGCATCTGGGAACATTTCACTCCCATTGACTTAAGCGTTTGCTATTCTTTCTGCCTGGAATTCTCATTTCCTCCTTTACATCATTAATTTTCTTCTCTTCTTTTAAATTTCAACTGAAATGTTTCTTCCTCCAGGAAGCCTTCCCAGATATCCAAGATCAGAGCCGGTCTCCCCTGTTATATACCCACATGGTTCCATGTGCTTTGCCCTCTTATTATTTATCCTGATTGTAATTACACAATTGAGTAATTCCACCCCTGACCCGCCCTGTCTTCCCAATAGAAAGTAAGCTCCTGGAGGTCAGAAACTCTGTCTTGCTCAGCTCAGAAGCCACAGGGCAAGCACTGTGTCTGGCACGCAGGAGTCCTCAGTATATACCTGCTGATTAAAAGGAAGGTAGAGAAGGAGGGGCAGCCATGGACACTCACTGCCTTCATATAATGTCCCCTCTCTCCCGCCCTCCCATTCTCCCTTCCTCCCTTCCTTCCTCATAAAACACCTGCCAGAAGGCTACCTGTTTCGCCATCTCTCTGTGGCTATGGGGACCCGCAGGGTTCCCCTGAAGGGGAACGGAGTATGTTCCTGGCGTCTGGGCACCCTCTGGCTCTCTCGGGCCAGGAAAATGTACAAATCCAGGCGAAAGCCTCCAAAATCATCCAGCCCAACTATTCAGCTACTTGCTGTCCATGCAGGGAGACCGAGGCCCAGCGAGGGGAAGGACACAGCCACCCTCACACAGCTGGTCGGCAGCAGGTCTTAGGGCTCCTGTCCTCCCCTACACAAGGCAAGCCCAGGCTCTGTGAGGCCTGGGTTCAAACCCCAGCTCTGACATTAGAAAGAGTTTGACCTGCAATTCCATGAGCCTCTGTCTCTTCAGCTGTAAACTGGAGACTGCAACACCTATTACCACCAGGAGGGGAGGCAGTGGAGCCTAGCGGTTAAGAACATGGAACGGAGGGGGTGGGGGGGTGGGGTAACCGGGTGATGGGCATTAAGGAGGGCGCGTGATGGAATGAGCCCTGGGTGTTATGTACTACTGATCAATCACTGAACTCTGTTTCTGAAACTAATAGTGCACTATATGTTAATTGAGTTTAAATAAAATAAAATTATAAAGAAAAAACAAGGAAAAAAAAAAGAACACAGACTTAGAGTGTGCTGGGTGGGCACAGACCTAGCACGTCTCAGCTGGGTGACCTTGGGCAAGTTGCTCAACACTGCTCCCAAATCTGCCACCTGTAAAATGGGGACGAGAATATTCCTTTCTCACACCTTGTCCTAAAAATCACGTAACACTGTGAGGTGTTTAGCACAGTTCCTGGCACGGTGACTCCTCAGTAAGTGGACAACATGATAATAAAACCTGCCATCTGTCAGTGATGAGAGAGACAGATGCAGAGACAGAGACCGGGAACGTGCCCAGGGCTCTCAGGCCAGACCCTAACATGTCCTCTCCCACGCTCCCTCTCTCTTTCTTTTAACGTGGATTCAGTCAGAATGCATCTGCCACCAACAAAGTATAGAATGTGCTCAGATGTTTCCTGTCACGGAGGACACGGCTCACGTCATCACAAGCATTCTCTCTATGAGAGACTAGAGGAAAATTGCTCTCAGGCCTCAGGAAGAGGAATAACCGCACTTCTCAAGCACAGGTGGTCTGTTTTCACCTCACAGACGTCTCTGACCTGCTTCCGTCTTTGAACTGGCTGCCAGGAAGCTCAGAGCCAAATCTGCGGCCTGCCTGAAGCGAGTGCTCTGGGAAAAGACCCTCACCCTGGCTTCATCCCTTTCTCTAAGCCCCCGTATTTCTTCTCCCTAATCTTCTCACTCATTTATTTAATAAAAAAAAAAAAATCCTATTCGGTGCCGAGAAACTGCCACTCATCTTTTTTGAAATTGGGGGTGGGTGAGAAATAAATGGAATTAAAACTGCACACAGGCCAAATGCAACGTGGTCGGCTGAAGCAGACGACATTAGTGGAAAAACTGGTGACCTTGAAGAAAGTGTGTGGTTTGTCGAATAGCATCGTACCAACGTCAGTTTCTTGGCCTTGGCGGACATACCGTGGTTATTATATAAGATGTTGACGTTAGGGGAAGCTGGATGAAGGATAAACGGGAAATCCCTTTGTGACTTCTCAGTAAATCTAAAATTATCCCAAAATAACGAACTTCTTAAACAAAATGTATGCACGGGCTACTGGGAGATTGCTTCCTCTTGGGAGTCCCCCTCTCATTACCTGAGAACACGGCATGCGCTCTGGGGACCCAGGGGCATTTCAGAATCAACCAGACCCAACCAACGTTCGTGGAGCCTCTACCGCCAGCCCAGCTGGCCAGGTGCCGAGCACGGTTCTAGAACCAGAATCCCCATCCCCACGTGGGAGTCCCACTAGCTGCGCGACACTCTGAGTCTCAGCGGCTGCACCTGTAAAATGGGCTAACCCGAGAAGCTGCTCTCACGGGGGTGTTGCGGGTACGTGACTTAATGGCAGAAAGCACGGGAGAAACAGGAGCCTGTCTCAGGCTGCTGTGACAAAGCATGGCACACTGGGTAGCTTAAAACCAGCAGACATTTATTTCTCGCAGTTCTGGAGGCTGGGAGTCTGGGATCAGGGCCAGCACGGTCGGGTTCTGGTGGGGACCCTCTTCCCGGCTGCAGACTGCCCATTTCTTGTGGCAAGGGAGCTCCGTGGGACACGAATCCCATTCGCGAGGCTCCACCCTCATGACCTAAGCTCCTCCCAAAGGCTCCCCCTTCCTAATACCGTCATGTTGGGGGGTAGGGATTCCACAGATGAATGTAGGGGACACATGGATTCAGTCCCTAACAGCGACACTCAATAAATTTAATCTTCCTTATTAATGTCATCGTCAGCTCGTACCTCCTCTCGTCTTTTTAACAATCCTGAGAAAGAGGTGTCATTTTTGATGCTTATCTGGGAAAGGGAAGGGAAGCACAGACAGGTGGAGGGGCTCTCCAGGGTCACCCAGCTATTCAAGCTAAAACAGCAAAGCTGGGATTCGAACCCAATCTTCCGGACTCCAAGCCCAGAGCTCTTCCAACTGCATCGTACGTCCAAAAAGAAGCTGAGATTGTGAAGACACAGTCTCATCTCGTGTTCCGTTCCCCAGCCACCTGGTTACCCACAGTCAAACCTTCTGGCTCCCTCAGGGACACCCCTTTCCTCCCCAGCCCCTCTATCCCCAACCTGTCTCATTCTGCAAAGCGGGCTCAGACGCCACCTGTGCCCAAGGTCACTGCTCCCATTGCTGCTGCCTTGGCTTCCCTGGCATCAGGATTTAGCCCAAACACAGCCGCCATTTATTTAGGTGATCTGTCTCCTGGGCCCGGCGTCCTTGTCCCTGCCTCGCTCACTATCTCCACTCCGCCAAGCCCTGAGCAAGCTCTGGCAGCGGGGATGGGGCGGCGTAGCGGCTAAGGCCACGGGCTGTGGACCAGACAGTCCTGCTCTGCAACCTGTCGGCGGCGTGACCTTGGAGGTCGGTGTCACCTTCTTTACGTGTCCGCCTCCCCCACTGGAAAACGTGAGGGTCGGAGCCACCTCGCCCGAGCGGCAGCCTGAGGGTTCAATGAGATCTGCGTGAAGTCCATCACCAGTACCTGGCCCACAGTCAGCCTTCTCCAAAGCGCGAGCTAACGATACTATTTCAGCTGTTGCCGGCTGCCCTGATGGCCCGGCAGCCGGGAGCCGCTGGGTGCAAGCCCAGCCCAGCTCCCGCTTTCTCCGCTCTCCCCTCTCCACGCTCCGCGACGAACCTGAGGTCAGGGCCACGGCAGCTGCCGGCGGCGTTTGCAAACGCGGTCACGAACTCAGCTGGCCTGCCCCCCAGCTGCATGTGGGGGAGGCTGCCCTGCTCCGAGGACTGCTGGGAGGTGGGCTCAGGAGGTAGGGGCAGGCCCCTGCTGCCTGCTCTGGGCACGCAGCCAGGGGGGCTCCCGGCTGCGACCAGTCCTCAGCGGGGGCGGGGGGGGCCGGGGGTCCTGACTGCCCCGCTGCAGGTCTGACCAAAAATCAGCTGCAAAGAGCTCCACACACAGCTCCTTCCCTCCCTCAGCCCCGCGCATGCAGCCCTGGCGCCCATCCCCGCCCGTGGGAGTCCAGCTGCTCACCTTGAGTCCACTGCTTTCTGCTTCTGAGCCCAGGTCCACGCCAGTGACGTAAATGCCCAGGCCGTACTCGGCTCCCCCGCGGATTGTGAGACCCAGGGACCGGCCGTCCCCCAGCACCAGGTTCACCTGCAGGAGGGACAGATCGCTATTCGAGGGCCTGGAGGGTGACATGAACGTCATGGGAGGCGGCACAGCAGGCTCTGGAGTCCTTGGCCTACCCCAAAGGGCACGTGGGTTCAGGCCTGGAACATTCCAGATCCTCTGCTCCAGCTCTGCCTCCAACTTGCTGAGTGACCTTGAGGGAAGTCCCTCTCCCTCCTGGGGCCACAGCTGTTAAGTGCAGAAAAAGAAAGGCGATGAAGGAGGTGACCTCTTGAGATCCCCAGAGAGATGTAACATTTCAGGTTCTTACATGTTCCCCACACTGTGGGGGCCACAGACCCCCCAGCTGCCCTTCACCACACCCTTCAGCCAGGGAGAGCCTACTCTGGCCCCAGGCTCCTTCACCTTCCATCCTCCTTAGGATCAAGGCTAAGTCCACTCCGCCTCCCTGGAGATCTCCCACCGGCCAGGGGTCCCCTGCCTCCCCCAGGAGTCTCCTGCTCTGCCACCCATCCCAGCGGCCCACAGCAGTGAGGCCCCCAGCTGCCCTTCCTTCTACAAACACAGGAGCACCTGCCGAGTGCAGACCCAGTGCTGGGCCAGGGGACCAAGAGACAGCACAGACCCAGTCCTGCTCCCAAGGGTCTGAGCAGAAGGGCACAGAGACCAGGAAGCAGGCCTTCACAGCACGGTGTGATCAGAGCATGATGGGGTGGCTCAGGGGCCATGACGATGCAGAGAAGATGCAAGGTCCTGACTGGGGGTGAGGGTAGTGGTTGGGGGGCTTCCCGGAGAAGGTGACATCGCTGATGAGATTGGAGGGTGAGCAGGTCAACTGGGCAGGGGCAGGGCAGGGGTGCAGGTACGGGCCAGCATGTGTCACTGCTTGGCCGTAGGGGAGCATGCTTTGCTCAGGATAGGATGGTAGAGGTGGGTTGCTGTGGCCAAGGCGGGGAGTGCTGAGGGGTAGTTGGTGGGGGGGGGGGCGGCTAGGGAGGACAGGCAGGAGAGGCTGGGGGCAGATTCAGGAAGGCCCCATAATCCATGAAGGTGTCTGCAGGTTAAATGTGCCTTGAGTACGAAAGAGGAATTATGGAAAAGGAGAAGTTGCACCCAAAGAGCTGAAACCTACCCCAAAAGGACAGAAAATATCCCTCACCAGGTTAAGCCCCAGGGACATGGAAGGGACCCAAAGAGAACACAGTCTGCCCGCAGGACAGTGGGGGGCATGGGTACCTGTCAGCGTCACGGGAGGATGGAGGTCATGGAGTTACAGAAGCCACCCAATCAGCTTTCTGTTTCTGAAGTTACTCATCTACGAGTTACCAAGGGCTTGGTGCCATCATCTGAAGCCTTTTACATATATTATCCCATGTAATTTTTCAACCACCCTGGGTGGAGGTGGTGAAGAAGACAGACTCAGGTCCAAACTGCCCGATGGGGGGAACCGCGGTGTGACCTTGGGCAAGTTACTTAATCTCTCTGTGCCTCAGCCTCCTCACCTACAAAAGGAGGATGAAAATAGCCTTATAAAATAGCCTTATAGCCTTATTCTACAGAAAGGGTCACATTAAGAGACAAACACAGGCTAGTTTCTGGCCCACGGTGAATGCTTCATTAGCCACTGTTGGTTCCACTTTGCACATGACAAAACCAGACAAGGTCACATAGCCACAGCAGACTCCTGCAGGCTGACACACGTCAGGAGAGAGCCTAACAGATGGGAGTGCCTCTGGGGCGTTTGCTTCTAGGACCGCAGGCTCTGGGGGTGGCCCCAGCCCCTTTAGGCCGGAGTCAGCTCCCCGGTTTGCTCCTCAGGCAGGAAGACCACATCAGAAAGGAGAACATCTGTGAGGCCCACGTTGCTCTCAGGGGGCAATGGGATTGGCCACCTGGAAGTGTCAGAGAGATGGATGTTCTGCAAGCGGCAGGCTCTGAGGACGGGCTTGACAACCCAGCCCTTGTGATCTGCCCCTCCCGGCCCAGTACAGCACCGCGGCTGGGAGAGCTTCGAGGTGACGTGGGTTCGAGGCCCGCCCTGTCTGCGATCACGCGCAGGCCTGGGCCCCCAGGGGGTGACGGTGTGTTGGTTACGGGTGCGGGCTCCGAAGCCAAACCGCTGGGGTTCATCCTGGCAGCAACACTTGCTGGGTGTGTTACCCTGAGTGGATGCCACCGCTTTCTCCTCTCTAAAGACGAGACTTTACTGGATTGTTGTTAGGGAGGAGTGGGTCCCCACATTGGGAGCATTTAGCATCGTGCCCGGCACAGCGGAGACTCTCGCTGTTGTTCTTATCTTCCCGGTGGCCCTCGCCGGCCAGCCACGGGGCTCGCTTGCACAGACAGGGTGTCCTGGAAAGAAGGCCGAGGTGTCCCCCCCGATGCTGCTGCCTCAGAGGCCGGGACGGGGTGTGCACTTGGGCTGTGGCTCGCGTTCGCTCCACTCGCTCACCCAGCCTCCCAAGTCTGGGCCTCGTGCTGGGCGCAGGATCACAGGAGTGGTGGGGACTGGTGGCTCACAGCGGAGTCCCTGCCAGGAGTTGCCTCCTCCCAGAGCAGCTCCCATCCAGGGACCGGGAGAAGACAGCAGGCGACAGCCCCACCCCTGCCTCAATTCAGGACAACCCTGCGGGCCCACTGCACCCCCAGTGCTCCCACGGGACCGGCTGAGGCCTGGGCGGGGCTCATGTCCCAGCCACTGCGCCCCCAGCCCAGCCCCGTGTCCCGTTACCAGCGTCGAACCCAGGGCACTGCCCTGCTGTGATGATAAATGACCACACACTTAGCAGCTTCAAACAGCACAGATTTATTACCTTACAAGTTCTGGAGGTCAGAAGTCTAAAGGGAGTAGACAAGACTGCATTCCTTCTAGAGGCTCTTAGCGGGGACTGTTTCCTTGCCTTTCCTAGCTTCCAGAGACCCCGTGCTTTCTTTGGCTCATGACCCATTCCTCTGTCTTCAAAGCCAGCAGGGTAGCACCTTCCCACCTCTCTCTGCTCCGGGCAGCACACCCCCTTTTTCTGACTCGGACCCTCCTGCCTCCTTCTCAGGCACCTGTGATTGCACTGGGCCCACCCAGAGAATACAGGAGACTCTCCCCATCTTAAGAGCCTTAACTTACCCACATCTGCAAAGTGTCTTTGGCTGTGGAAGGGGACCTCTTCCCAGGCTCCAGGGAAGAGGTGGTGGGTGTCTTGGATCGTCATTCTGTCGACCACAGACACTCCCCTAGAAACCTCCTCAGGGAAATCTTGGTCTCAGAGTCCATTCTGGGGAGCCTGATCTCCGTCAGAGTATCCCAGAAATATGACCTCCGAGCCGTGAAGACCTAGGGAGTCAGCCAGGGAAAGGGGGAGGGAAGACAAGTATTCCGGGGGCAGGAAGGTGTGCAAAAGCTCAGGACCCGGACACAGCACAGCCCCCAGGAGTCCCGCAGGGTTCTGTTTGGCTAAAGCAAGACAGGGAAGGAGGGAAGGGACAAGATTAGCCAGTGGGGGGGCCATGAGCCAGGCCGAGAAGACTGGGCTTTAGGTGGAAGAGAGACCTGCTCAGATTCATTCGGATTTTAGGAAGACTACCGGCCAGCAGAGCGGGCCGCTTCCTGGAGATCCTTCAGGAGAGGGTGTGCACCTTGAGACAGTGGCGGGGTGGGAGTGGGGGAGGCGGGGCTCAGATCTGGGGGAGCTCAGTGAGACCGGCTGAGGACGGAGTGTGCAGCTCCCACCCGATCCCCTGCCATGCCCGCACAATGCACCCCTTCCTTCATGCTCTGCCTTCAGGGCCTGGGGTCCACACACCAAGGCTCCAGCCCAGCTCCGTCCCTCCCCTCCCCCACCTGGGCTCTCCAGCTCTAAGTGCAAAAGATTCCGGGAGGAGAGAGCCAAGAGGAGCCCACGACAGCCAGATGGCAGCGACTGTCTGCCCCCTCTGAATGCCGAGGATGGAAACACACCTCCCCACCTCCCCACTACCTCCCCGTAAATCCGTTACGCGGGAATAAAACGGAGCCCGTATCACAGGGCTGTAATAACAGTCCTATCAACCACAGCGTAATCTGCCTCAATCACTGGCTGGAATTCAACCAGTGTTTGGCAGGAAAAAAATTCACCTACGGGAAGGACACTGAGCTGCACAGCAAGAAGAACGCCACCTCCACCGATAATATGAATAACTCATTAAACTAATTACTTGCGAAACGTACTATTTCCTGAATCCCAGGCACTGGTTGCATTACCCCCATTTAATCCTTTCTCTTCCTCTGTGGTTTCTATTATTACGCCCATTTTCCCGATGAGGACACTGAGGCAGGAGGGGTGAATTGACGTGGCCAAGGCCAGACGGTCGGCAGCTGGCCAGCCTAAGGCATTTAACCAAAACGCTGCGCTGCCTCCCACAGCGCTGAGAGTTCAAGTCCTGAGTCTGCCCTTTACTCCTGGGGAACCAGGGGGCAGGGTCCACTTTGTCTCTGATTTTCACAGTTTTCCCCGTCAGTAAACTGAGAATCGAACAATGTACCTGGGATAGGCACTGCCGCCACTCCCCTTCCTGCCTTGCCCTAGAACCCTGACCCTGTCCAGGAAGCAACAGAGCAGCCCCCAAAGATGAAGTCAGTCTGGGCCAAGGCTGTTCCCCTCTGCCAGGGATGTGGGTAGTCTGGGCCAGTTCTGGCCAATGGACATGATGGAGGATGTCTGCTGGTGGATGCTGGGAGCAATTCTCCCCTCAGAGAAGAAAGACACATAGGCCCAGGATAAGAAGGGCCTTCTGCATGCCTGCCCAGCTTCCACTCTGCTTTGGACACAGCTGTGATGGCAGGAGCAGTGGCTACCATTCTGCAACTGTGAAGCAATAAGCCAAAGACAAAAGCCAACAAGAGGAAGGACAGACTCACCAACAAACCACACCTGAGGCCACCTAGCCCCACACTCCTCAAGGCACCCTGTAGCCTGGAGATCCAGCCCCGGGCAGGGTGGATATATGCATGATGACTCCTTCATGGACCTCAGATCTTATGTCACCTTCTC